TAACTATAAGCATTAATTCTTCCTCTCTATTCTAAAATCGTAATAACTTATCTGCATTGCGTCATTCAGATTAATCATGCGATCTTACGTAACCGTTAATACCAGGTGCCTCTTGACAACCAATCACTGAATTGTAAACCAAAACTTTTCTCTTCGCGTGCTTCCATCTTGCATAACTACGCACTTCAGCTTTTGCCCTCTACTCTGCTAAGATGTAATTTCGCTGGCTTGCTTTCCTTCTCAATTATATCAAAAATGTAAATGTTCTTGAATAGGCATAACTAGAGTGCCAAGTGAATTGTGGCCACAAATATCAGCTGGAAATAAAAATGGAATTAAAACTGCCTCGACTGCCAAGTTCTTTAAATACTACGCAATCAAAATTCTTCTTTAATGTGGATCTAAGCACGCATTTGCAGTGTTCCGTCTTTTCCTTTCCTTGTGCTTTTAATATTACATATATATATATATTACAAATGGTATATTTCAAATAATATATATATTATATATATTTTACAAACTGCAGAAATATATTGCGTTTAAATATATTTCTGTAGTTTGATGATCAGCTAATGCAGACAGAAATTCGTCTTTGAATCATGTGAAATGGGTTTGGTGTTCCGTTCACTTGTGTCGGTGGTTAAGCATTATCACTTCATAACAGCTCCTAAGAATTCCAAATGTATATTGTACTGACAAGAAATGCAGCAGATCAAATACTTTGGACGACCTGCTGTGATAATTTTCCTTTCATAGAATAAAAAAACAAAACTAAATTCGCTTAGTCGTTGTTAAATACTCTCGTCACTACAGCATCCAGGTCGCAGTATATCCAGATAGGTCAAAAACACTCTTTATTAGCTTACGTGAGTAATAATTGCCAATAAATCTCTTATAATAAATGATCCTTCGAACATTTCTATTTTTCAAATTTATTTTCATTTAATTCAAATATCTTTTGTGAATTTTTTAATGTTGTTTGCTCGCTATAGCGTAACATACACATCTTCTTTGCTTGAGTGCGAAATAAAATTCGAATCTTCAAATTATATGTATGATAAATATTGGATATAGTTTTAAACTCTTACTAGATGACGACACTGAAGTAAAGAAGCGTGTAATACTGCTGAAATTGTGCGTGAAGTTTTCCCAATATTTTATCAGTATAGCTCTATGTGTATACAATTTTCCATGTATCTGACAATTACGACAGATGGTATCGGAGTCAAGTCGGCAAACAATTGCTCCACATTGTGAACCATTAAAAGACGCTAATTGTGAATCATTAAAAGATAAGGTATTAGTTTAGGCACATGTTTGTTTATTTTGAAATTATTTCCCGATTTAGATTGTAGTTTGCATTTTTTATTTGCATGATTTTGAGAGTCTTGAAATTTAAAAAGGCCGTCTACACATCGTTCCTGTTCATCAGAAAAAAAAAACTGAAAGCTTTAAGATATTATATTACGCCCAAAGTGGTCTTTTGTTTTTCATACATGCACTTTCGAAAGCCGTTACAAGAGCATTTGGGCTAGCGCCCATTTGAATTAAAAATATTTGAAAAAAGCATATCTTTAAAATTTCCGATTGAGAGTCTTGCCGGCTGGAGATTAAAATGTTTTTTTCTATACAGTGTTGCGACTGTTTGCTTTAAAATCGTTGAGCTTTTTTTTATCAAAAATTTAAAAATATGGAATAGATAATAAAAGCAAGTTCATATTCAAAATTCGGGCTTCCAGATTCTCATATTCGGTGGAGGACAACCTTATTCAAAAGTTGATGTCGTTTTTTGACAAAGCGAGAAACACACATAACAATGCAAACTCTTAATCATTTAATTTCTTTAAATATAATACAGGGTGATATTGGTGGCAACAGTTTGAAAAGTCATTTGACTCAAAGTTCCGTTTCGAGACTAATAGCCCTTCTGGCTAACGCCTGTTTGGGCTAAAAAAAAGAAAAGGGGGTAGAGAAAATAAGAAAACAACATCCTCTTTTCACAAACAAAACGTTTGCAACGCATTTTTAACTAACACGGCTCAATATATTTGAATTAAATAAGATTTTCATGCCCTTGCATTAAATCTCAGTTTCAGACAAGGAGATTTACTAAAAATTGTGAAACTGAATGAATAACAAGGAAGCTAAGAGGAATTAATTCATAACAACAGAAAATTCATTCACAACTCTGATTCTAAGAAATATTTATATAAGCATATTTCAGAAGTCGTTTTTCGTCTATCTGAACCTGTTTTTGTAGCAAAGAAACATTTCTGAGACCACATTTGATTTTAAAATTAAAATCTCAGAAATTTTATATACAATTCTAGAGTCAGCAAAATTCTATGTGGAAAAGAAACATAATTAACATTCCTTTGTTTAATAAGCTATAAAACTCAAAGCCTCATCTCAAGGTTGAAAAATTTTAGAAGACAGGGAACGAATTTGGGAATGTAAAGTCAACGATCAAAGCCAAAGTGAAATACTCGTAGATATCTAGGGCTTACTTGAGTAAAAAAAAATTGAAATCATTTAAGTTCAATAACAGATTATCTTAGCAATTCTGGTTATGACAATTCGAGCATTAAATACATACAAATATTTAAATTTACACAGTTTTATACAAAATCCTTAAAATGTCAAAAAATAATTTTTTAGTTATCACAATATTCTTTGTCATGTCTGAATAAAAATGTAGTAGACGAATCTTCTAGTCAAAGGGAAAAAAGCGGTCAAAGAGATATTCAAAATAGATTGAATATAAAATCCTCATATTAAGCCATTTCTATTCTATTAATTATCATTTTCCACGAAATGCCGTTAATGTCCTAATACCATTCATGTATATTCACCCTATAAGATATCTCTCCTGCCTTCCTAGCGTGCCTTCGAGGTGTAGTGGTTCAGCACACTGGGCGCGTATTCCCGAGGTCCGCGGTTCGATTTCCAGTGAAGGCGTTGCTAATTTTTCATCTCTCGGGCCTCCAAAAAATCCTAATGAATAGTGGCGCCCGATTTAAAAGGGTGGTCGATGATGATTTCTCCCCACCCGGGATTTGAGGATTAGGTCCCCTAAAAATCTCGGTCGCCCTTTAAAAAGGGGAAGTAATATAAGGTATTTTTCTCGCATTCTTGGCATGGTGGTCTGCACGCTGGGCCGGTATTCCAGAGGTCCGTGGTTCGATTCCCGGCGAAGGCGTAGCTAATTTTTCATCTTGCCTGGTTCCAAAAAAAAATCCTAATGTCTCTACAGTGGCACCCGAACTGAAAGGGTGTTGGATGATGATTATCCTCACCCAAGATTTGGCGATAGGGTCCCCTAAAAACCCCAATCGTCCTTTAAAAGGGGGAGTATATAAGGTATTTCTCACGCTTTCTTAGCGTGCCTTCGTGGTGTAGTGGTTCTGCACGCTGGGGCGGTATTCCAGAGGTCCGTAGTTCGATTCCTGAGGGAAGGCAATTGCTCATTTTTGATCTTGTCTGCTTCCAAAAAATACCTAATGTCTCTGCAACCCCACAGTTTTATTTTTAGGAACACGATAATATAATGAATGATAGTTAAAAACTTATTTTGAGCTTTTCTGGCCGTTTTACTAACACTGTGTAATTCTGTTTTAGTCCATATAATCTACTATATATGGAAAAGAAAGAACTTCATCATTTTCGAAGTATGAAAATTATTCTTTTTAATCCATTTATTTACGAAGAACCTTGATGTCATTTCTTATCGATGTTTTATGATATATCGATTAGCATTACATAAATTTTATATAAATTTCTATTTGATTTAGATAATCCACTTTATTGACTCATGGAGCTACTAAGAATGGAGGATTTAATTTTCGATTTATTTTTAGAGCGAGCACAGCGAAATACTAATACTATGTGAAAAACAATTATCTTTTAGAAGAATAGCTATGAGTTCAAAGTTGAAAAAAATATATCTAAAAGGCGCTGTGGTTGTACGAAACGCCTACTACATGCAATTCTAGAGCTATAAATTCATCATTGTGGGTAACTGCACTATTATTAAAAATGAATGATTTTAAAAAATCATCAAAATTTCAAATGCTAATTTAGAAATTATGAGAAACTTTTATTTGGAAGATTATTTCTCGATCTTTTGGATAGTTTAAAAGTAAAAATTGTGTGATGGCAGTTAAACAAGGATATGTGACAAACATTCAACAAGAAATAAAAAAATGTAATTTTAAACGTATGTATCGAATTAAATTCGCATTACAAATGTGTTATAAATGCGTACTGAGGAAAATTGCAAGAAATCAGGTAGATGGAACGGGATTAACATTCTTTTTCCAAATAAGATGCAACTACACAAACAAAATCAAAAAACTAAACAGAAGAATCAAGCTAAATATACAATAATGTAAATAGCTCATACTTGAAAGTTTTTATCATAGTTATTATTTAAATGCGATTAATTGTTTTTACGAGAAAAATTATATATTTATGAGTACATCAGTTATTACCAACGAACGAATAATTTTAATGATATTGCTCTCTTTTATTACCTTCCCACCATTGGAATAATATATTACATCATATCCGCAGCGCATTTTCCTGACGCTGTGATTTCCTTAGTTGGTGTTTGTTTACATCCTGTGTGAGGACAGATGCGTAACATCAAAAATCTCTCCTTCGAGAAAACTGAGTACGAAATTAGCAATTTTTATCTTCTATTACCTGAAATTTAGCGTTGGATTTTAAAAGAATGAATTGTTTTAAATTTGATTTTGTAATCATTCAATATATTAGTTTTATTTCGTTATTTTTGTGTACCTGTTGTTTAGATAATTGAATGTTATTAATGTTTGCCGTTTTCGAACCCTAGTTATTGAACATGAAAGTTTTTTGAAACAGCTTGTAACTTTAAATAATAATAAGTGTTTAAAGAGTTAAATGGTATTTTGAGATATTGTTAAATGATGGTAATATCGATGAATAATATGCTAATTTCATATTTTTAAAAATATCTTTAGGGCAGCTAAAGTGGAGGATGAAGCTGAATCAGAAATTCCACCAATCGGATTCTTCAGCTTGGTTAGTACATGATTCCATTTTTATTCTTTTATGATTTCATTCCGTTTATTTTATAAAAGTCTTTCAGTAGAAATGAAATATATGTAATGAATAAATCTTGTTTTAAACGTCTTATTATAAGTTGTATTTAATGTTAATAAAATAAAAGAACTTCAAATGAAGAGTAGCAGTATTTCAATAATTAAATTCTACAAATAATTACTTCGTATATTTGATAATAGAAGGTCGTAGCGGGAAAAAACACATACAATGCATATTATTTTAATCTTTCAGTTTTGAATTTTTCACACAATGTGGCAACACGTGATATCATTTGTTATACTTTAACTATTGCTAAAATAACATATTCTCGTTTTCCAAAATTAATAGAACAAAAACCCCTCATTGTTAATACTTGAATATCCCTAAAAGTACGGTTTATGACCAAAATAAAGTACTTAAAAGGTATATCAAAATGCAAACTTCCAATGTATCTTACATAAGTACTTCTGATTAAAACAGTATATTTCATCTCCTACGTTATGATCAACTTCGAAATATTGAAGAAATTTAAGTTCGGTAACACTTATATACTAATTAAATTTTATGCTCAATTTAATAGTGGATTCCTGAAATTCTGTGTTTTATGCCTGCAGAGCATTCTCTTCCAGAATCATCTGAACTGCTTTCACTTTCTGAGGTACTAGTAATAAATAGTATGTATAGACTGTTCGTGTCCTGAACTATATAAATGGGTGTATTTCTGTACTAATGGCATTTCTAGAAGAAATATATTTTAATATACACTTTAGTCTTTTAAAATTATCATTGTATGCAATGGACCATTTTTCTGCTGATTTTAGCTCTTCAATAATAATTTTTGTGTTTATATTTTCTGAAATTCAGAGTAATATACTTATTTTAATCTTTCAGTTCCGTTACTCGAGTGCCTGTGATAAAATGCTATTAATCTTTGCTACTATAATTGCAACGGTTTCTGGAGCATCTATGCCAGCAATCATGATTATTTTTGGAAAAATAATCGATAAACTGATCGACTTTGATGCATCTAATAGAAACTATACAAATGTCACTATGTAAGTAACTTTTTGCTTTGTTGTTCTGTAATCGTATCTTGAATCCTGAACCATTTTTTAAGATTTTTAGCATGTGAGCTATAAAATTTTGTATTAGAAATGCTTCACAAAATCTGCCTTCAATGATATTATTAATTTAAGATTTTGTAAGATTTTGATATTATTAATTTAAGATTTGTATTTTGTAAAATATTTAGTTAAACCTAGCATTTCAAGTATTTTTGAATGACTACGAATTTCACTTCGAGATGTTTTAGAGGTAATTTGTGACAGGATTCACCACATTTTCTAACTTTCATCTTTCGAAATTACATTTTAATCATCCAAATATTTTTAATTAATTTTAATTCTGCAATTTAATTAAATTATTCAATTTTTAATGAAATAAAAATTATCTATTAAATATATAAGAAATTAAATATACGTTTTGAAATCTAATTAAATAATTGCTTAAGGAATAAATAAATTTCGGTTTACTGTTTCCTCAGCAATACAAAATATCTGTATAGATTAAAATATTTATTTCAAATTTGAACTCCTTCTGCTGCTAATATAAAAAAGCCCAAATTATCCAGACACGGAAACCATTTACCCAAATATTTGCTTCTTTATAAAATGAAAAAAAATTAAATGTGTTGTTTTATAGAGTCCTGTATACTTTAATATAAAAAAGCCCAAATTATCCAGACACGGAAACCATTTACCCAAATATTTGCTTCTTTATAAAATGAAAAAAAATTAAATGTGTTGTTTTATAGAGTCCTGTATACTTTGGTAGCATAAACTCACGGGCTCTAGGAAGACAGTAGAGGAATTACCCTCGTATCCTTAACTGTAGGTAGACATAGTCAGAGGAAGGGCGTAAATAGCCCTTTCATTGATCAAAAAGAAAATAACAGTTGACACCACTGGGTTTAGATAAGCCAACATTTTTGGCGTAACTTAAACAAGTATTAAGCTAATGGCTCACAGGTTAACGTAAACACTCGGGAAGTCTCTGGCTCATAGAAGCCGGCGACACAAGCTTAATGGCTAGAATCATTCGACGGCACAGAATCAAATCACTATTTATTCACGGTAACAACGTGGCCTTTTAAGTAGGCAGAACACGCTCGAATTGCGAAAACTTCGCTTTTAAATAGAACTTCTTTCTCCTTTAACTTGAATAAACGCGAGCTATCTAACTTACGTTCTGACATAAAAGGCGTGGGTAAAAATGAAAGCGACAAGAAAGTTGCTTTATCTCAAAATTAACTATTAGTCAAAATAATTAAATAAATCATCACAGGTTATTTGCTTATATTTTTAAACTCATACAGAAAAATTAATATACGTCGCAATACTTAATTTTAGGAAGTTCTTAAATTAATTTGTATAAATACTGTTAAAAATGAAACACGATTTCTTTTTTTTTTCCAAGTAAAAGGCTACCCCTTTAAATTTTTTTAAAGTACAATAAAATATAATTTTTAGTAGAATAAAAAGAAGAGAAAGGTTTTATGTTTGGCTTCAGAACCTTGGTAAATAAAAAGCATTTCGGATCTTTTTTTTCTCTTAAAACAGAAACAGGTTTCGTGTTTCCAGGTCAATGAGAAATAATTATATTTTTTAATTTTGTCAAAAGAAGTGAGTTCTGTACTTCATTTTAAGAAAAGAAAATTGGTCTGTATAATGAATGAGTTAATCCAACGCCTTGGACGTTTTGAAACGTGTGAAAAGTTTTTGATCTCAGCTAGTTTAGATATTTTGAATTCTATAGTATTTTTCTAGACACTTAGAATGTTAAAGGTAGTAGTAACAAAAACTGTGCAATAAACTATCAGAAAATACTAGCAGCTTCATTTAAAACTAGGTTGTGAATATATAAACTGAAATTTCACTACTTGCATGTTGTTACTTTCATACTTTCAGGTTGTTTCAGAAATAAATAAATATCAGTAATTATTTACAGTACTTAATAACGTCTTCCATACTGGAAGAATTCCTTATTAAGTGTTGACTTGCTAGTTACATTTTATAGATTATCAATGGAAACCAGAGTGACTGTAGCTTACCCTATTTTTGGTAATCAAAATCTTGAACTGGCATTTTGAGTTCATTGAGTTAAGACTCCTTCCAGCACGGAAGAGTTTATGTAATACTATCAACAGTTACTGATATCTGTTGTCCCTGAAGTACTAGGGTTACAAATGAAAACATCGCAGAAAAAAACGTTGGTGGAGAAAACAGCGTAACTGTAAAAATGTACTACACTATTATTTCGTACAAAAAAAAAAAAAAAAAAAAAAAAAAATAGTTGTGGTAGAAAAGACAGCATGGAGGAAACATTTGCAGTACTAAAATATCGTGACTTTGTATTGCGAAAACTTCGCAGTGTTAAAACAAAATGAAAAAAAAAAAAAAAAAAAAAAAGGTCGTGGAAAATAATAATAATAATAATCTTAATAAATCATCTCATGGCGAAAACATCGCATGCGTGCATTTTCTGGCTATAAGGCTTTTTTAAATAAATATTCGTGTAATAATTTGTGAGTATAAGAAGAAAATCAAGATATTTTTTACTTTTGCATTTCATATCTTTATATTAACTAATAAATTTTTAATGATAAAGCAAGGAGGTAAATTATACATAAAAAATCTGAAAATAAGTAAAAATTATTGTTATATTTAGCAGTCAGTAGAATTTTAAACTTTTATCTCTTTCAGTTTCTAGTCTTTTTTCTACTATAATTTTCATTAAAAACTATTCATTCTTCTTTATAAAAGGCAATAGTTGAATAATGAATTGCAATAGATAGCAACATATGTTTAAATACTTTTATCTGGTATACTGTATATAATATTAATTTTTTATTAAATTCCAGATATTAAATGCTTAAGTGTCTTTTCTTTCAGTAGAAATTTATTGATTTGTACAAAACAACGAAATATAAAGATAAAATGAGTCTTACTTTTCTTGCATTCGCAAACCATTCTGAGAAAATTCACTTTTTATAGGTACTTTATTTTTTACTACGGTATTTTCAACGATGATGTTTTTAAACTGCGAAGTTTTTTAACCGCTTTATTTTCGACCACAATATTTTGTACCACGATGTTTTAGAATTGCGATGTTTCCTCCCCACGATGTTTTGTACCACAACATTTTTTCCTTGCATTGTTTTCTATGCGACGTTTTCGTCCGGGGTATTTTTGCCGCGACGTTTTCGGCGGACACCCGGTGTTTTATAACTGAGTTTTTGCACCAGTTTATTTTATACAACGATGTTTTTTGAATCGCCATGTTTTCTCCTTATTTTCCTTCCATCTATGATGTTTTATAATACGATGTACCTTGCTTTGTTATCTCGGCAAAGTATTAGTCCATGGTGTTTTCGGCGGGCACTTTAATCCCAATTAGATAAATAGCGTGTGTATACAGAATAATAGTATTTAATTCTCAGAATCTTTATTTTAATCCCAAAAGCTCTTTTCTTCTGCTCTTATGTCACGCTTGAATCATCTTACACCAAAAAACATGTCTTGAACGTGAAGATTAAGAGAGGTTAGAAATCCTAAATGATGAATAAAACGTTAAAAGGTGAATTTTTCTTTTAGAAGTGAACGGGAGAAGTATTTGGACTTAATTTTACAATTTTATTTTATTTTCTAGGACAAAAGAAGAATTTTTGCATGAAACAGCAGTTCTTTGCTACTGGAATGCAGGTTTTGGTTTTGCATTTCTGGTTTGTAACTATATAATGGTAAGTTTCTTCAGTATTGCTGCTGCTAACCAAGCATACAAAATACGATGCATGTTCATGGCATCCGTACTGAAGCAGGAAATAGGATGGTTTGATACCAACCAAACTGGTGATTTTGCAAGTCGCATTTCGGGGTAAGTTTTTAAGTTAAGTTTAGCCTAAGTTAGTATAAATTTATCCAATCGATTTATGCATAACGTGTTTCTAAAATAACAGTAGATGTTTCCTGGGTAAATAAAAGCATAAAATTTCGAATTTGGCTTACACTTTGCTGTAAAACATTATTACTGTAAGGAACTGTACAGTATCTTTCCAAAATGATACAGCGCTTGTTAGCAACCCCGAGATCTATTCCATGCTACCACTCCAAGATATGTAAATGCTAGTTGGTGACTTGAGGTGAAATGGTATTGATTTTTTCTTCAAGGTAGTACAGATTTTTAAATTTCATGATTGTTTGATGCTTAAGCTAGTTACCTTGCAAGCTGTTTATATCTGTTGATTATTACTTTATTGAAGTTTTAAAAAGGCCAAATCGTATTAATAATGCTGTTGTTGAATTCGTGTCGGACTGACAATGCTCAGTGATTTCTGCCCTTAGATCTTGTAATAGAACTGGTAATAGATCGTAGTGAGTACTACCTGATTAGAACACAGCTTAAGCCTAATGAACAAAAGGATAATGAAAGCACCAATTTATGATCATGTGATATAAGCTTTGATATGCACAAAATATCTTCCCTGAAATAACTGCAACGCAGCCAACAGCATTTAACAGGTTGTAATTAAATTGATGGTTAAAACTTTAAGGAGCATTTGAACACGGCAAAAGTAACAATTTTCTTAGTATAATGGATGGTAAAATGTAAACACGGATGCAAAGTATGAACAAAATTGGAAAACAAAATGTCGTTTTAATCATAATATCTGCAAAAAAATAATGTTTGATACCTACAAGAGTTACTTGACTGTTTACGAAACACAGATTGGATCTCTGGAAGACGTTGCCGCTAGAATTAGCGTCAGTACTGCAGATATACGCAATATGCCGAGCATTTTCCCAAAAGATGCACGAATCGCCACATAGTTGTTGTAACGCATATATTGCAATTGTTGACTATTCATCTGAACAATTCTAATAAATATGAAATAAAATTTCCTGTAAATACGAATGATTAAATCAACTTTTCTTTCTTCAAATTCTTTCTGCTAACTATGCTTCCGTGTTCACATTCCACTACACATGGTATTGCACAAATATTTAGGTTTTTATACTGAGTCACCGCTTAAAGTTGTGATCATCAGTTTGTTCACTACTTTTACACACTGATGACTCATATGATATTAATACCAGCAGGGATTTAATCCCCTAAGTTTATGCAATGTTGAATTACACTTCTCTAGGTAAACTCTCTGTTGAATCGGTATTTCAAGCCAATATTATGCAGCTGTAATGTAGATACAACATCTACCCATACCTCTACAATGTGCAGCGATTTTCTTCACTGTCTAGCCGCAACTCAAGGAAGTGTAGCAGAAATTCCTTAGTAAGGCAACCAAAAGAATTGTCTTAACGTGTCTAATACCTCATATCTCGGAGTCTAGTAGATTCAGCTCACTTAAGAATTAAAAAAATGAATCAAGAGACTAGCTTGTCAAATAGGCAGCTATCGGCTGAAGAAAATTAACCAGCCCAATTTTATTTCCTACCCCAATATCAAATATGTGATTTACTAGCATCTTCTTTTCAAATAGCAAGAAAGCTGAAAGTCATCTAATGCTGACTAGTGAAAATCTACGTTTTACCCAAGTGTGGTAAAGAAATCGAATCAGTATTACGAATACGTGAATATCTATACTACGTTAATACTTTATGGTAGGACACGATCTTTCCAAATCGTATCTAAATCACTTTCTAATTATGGATAAATATCAGTGTCTATGTAGCATTCAGTATCTGTGATATCAATCATTATGTCTTCGACCGTTCACTTATACAACAGCACAGCAGTAATTGAAAAATCCAGAGACAAGCAATGGCCCAGCATGTGCTCAAAATGCAATTGTTGGATAGAAAAAAGGTTAAATACAAAATCAATTCTATGGTGTATTGCAATATACAAAAAATGATTAACTTATCATCTGGTATTAGAAACACCTATATAATGGCACGTATGTAGTAACTACCATGTGTGAAATTTAAAAACACTAGCTAATGTAAACGAAATTTCTTTCTGCAAAACGGTACTAGCATCTTTATGCTGGAGCATTCTGCCGGAGGTTTCTGTTCTGGTGAATACTAGTTGACCCGCATAAAGATTTGAGCATCTGTATGAAAAAATTTCTTAGGCAACAACCCCAAGCAAAATACCTATTTCCTGTCTTCTACCGCTTAATGTACATACTTTCTGGAGTTAGGGAGTTGTTTATATGACATTATTTTTGTTATCACTATTTTTGTGAAATACGGTTTAAAAAACTGTATTATAGTTTTATTATAAAAGTGAATTCTTTCACGTAGTTATTTTGTACCTGTTTTTGATGATATATTAACTAGGCTAATAGCTTGTATATTTAACTACTATGCACTGACTGTTTCCTTTTGAATCCAGTTTAAATACAGTTTTCTGGTTGTTATCATCTAGTAACAATTTCACCTATATATTATGACTTTAGTTTAGGTGATTGATTTGTCTTCTCTAAGTTTTTAACACATAAAATAATGCATAAAATATTGATTTTGTTTTCCAGAGATCTGACAAAAATTCAAGATGGCATGGGTGAGAAAGTAGGCATTTGTATCGGATTCCTTTCTTCAACTTTCCTTTGTGTAGGTTGTGGGATATATTATGGCTGGAAATTAGCACTTGTCATCCTGTGTGTTACTCCTATCCTCACTATTGCTATGGCAATTATGTCAAAAGTAAATAAAAATTTATTCTCTCTATGCATTACTGAAAGGAAGTTCCATAAAATGTTCACTCAGTAGTTTTCGAAAATGTTAATTTCATGGTTATTTCCAAAAGACGTGTTTTAATTCAAGATCTCTGCTGCAGATGCAAATAAAGCGTTTAGATCCATTAATAGACAATAGGTACAAATTCCATTCGAACTCGTGATTTATTTGAATTTTAACTTACAAAAATTGTTCAGACAAAAAGCGCAACTGCTGGTAGTCACGGAATAATAATTGTTTTTACAAGCCAAGTAGATTTCATTTGAGTGTTTACAAAAGAATGAAATGTACCGATACCAAGAATAATTCTTAACAATCTTATCTCCATAAATCTGATAATGTCTTTGATTAAATTACTATACAATTATCACTATACAGATCCCCTCAAGAATCGTTATGTAACAGAACACAAGAGCACATTGTTCTTTGTTAGTATTTTCAACCACAGGTTAACAAGCATAATACATCATTGAGTTATGAGGTCGCTGTGTGAAAAAACGCAAAAGTCTGGCAAATGTTGTCTGTATCGTATGTTGGTGAGTAATTCTTGTCTGAATAGTATGATACAAAGTATGGGTCTGTTCTACCATTAATAAACTGTGGTGTGAAATAATAAGTATGTTGTGTGATTAGCCAATAACGTTTACTCTATATGTTTGTAAGGTTTTAGTTAATTCTAACCAGTTATTTTTAGTTGGACTACCCTGTTTCTCTTGGTTTCAGTTTCCTGCCGGAATGCAAATTTTGTATAATGTAGATGAATTCTCAGCGTGTTTCAGGAGCAATATTTAAGCTGCGTTTCAATAGTTTAAAAGGGTAGTAGCGGACTTAATTCCGATGTTTATGCTGCGAGTTTAAAATTAGCTCTCTAATTCGGTGTTTGACACCTTTCAGTTTATACTGATATTTTTCGGCTCTGCTTTGATGTGTGCAATCGATTTAGTGTTAGTTAAGCTAAGGAGCCAGTCTTTAGATTATCTTAAATTACTATTAAATTGTTACATTCTTATTTTCCGTTACGTAGCCGCAAGTGGAGGTGATTTGTGAGCACGAAGTCTGTGTATCTGTTTTAATTTAGATTTAAATAAAAAGATTATTTAAACCTTTGTGTTTTGCAGTATTTATTCTTAAAAACATAACGAGAATTCGCTACTTAGGCTTCAAGATACAGTTTTAAGAGTGTATGGTCCCAAAGAGTACATGCAGACTCTACATGCTTGGCAGAAATATTAAGGACGGAGGTAGTGACGAACTACCCAACAAGAGACGCATCTCCAGAGTACTCCAGGAAAGGCATTGCGTGGAAGTAGTTTAACGCGTTGAAACAACAAACGTTCCTTGAAAAAAAAAACTGCTCGAAATAACAAGACCGATGGGACAAAGCGCGGCAAATTGTAACGGTTTTTTGAGACACGCTGTACAATGAAACACTAAGTGGACTGAATTCGCTAATATAGTGTTACGTTATTTTCTACCCTGACGTTCGTACGGAGTTCGTAGATTTGGCGTGAGTAACGACGACACTTGATGAAGTATCCAAACACATTTTATTTAGCCAATATTAATCAGGGCAGCTCCAAAGTCACGTTTTACAGTTGTCGAAGATCTACTATACACTCGCTAGAACAATCAGCGACACAGCCTTCCGGTTATCAGGCTATAACGGTGGAGACAGCTTCACTTCAAAGCACCAGAGTACAGCTCCCGACTCTGCTTGGTCGTTCTCGGAACTCTCTAGACTCCCCACGCTACAACTCGCGATGCACTCGACGACACACAGAGCACAGCTCCCGAATCTTCGGTTCAGTCGTTCCCGGAGCTCAACACACTCTCTCGACGATACACTAAGAGACTAACCACGATACACTAAGAGACTCTTTCGATGCACTCGACGACTCACTCGACACTCACTGTCCGGCTGTCAACTCGATCGACTCCGCACGGACTGACTAACTCGAGACACTAACTATCTCGCACTGACTCTCCGCGTACCAGCAGGGTTTATATAGTTTTTGGCTTGTGTTCGAGAACATTCTGGGCTAAACCGGTGAGAATTCGTTCCAGAAGACCCTCCATCCGTCCATGGCATGTCGCCAATTTTGTCGCCAAATGGGCGATCTCTCGCCAAATGTGTCAACCCTGCCTTCCATTGCCATTTTATGGCAACCCTAAAAGCTATCTTACCGCGTCTGGTAAGATAGAAGGATTGCGGGGAAGCTATCTTACCGCGTCTGGACATTTCGTAACAATTTATGTACACAAATTTCAGAAGCCGCATGACATTGGATTCGCAGTTCACATTTGGTATTTGAGGAAATGCCTCATAGAAACTTTCTCATTGGGCAAGCCTGATTTTAAATGCATTTCAAACGTTCCTTCCTTTGGAAAACCATTTCAAACCTTTTCATTTAGAACATAAATTTTGCTGTGCGTGATACGGACAACTCTCCTAACTGTCAGTCAACTGCAGTCATTTTTTCGTAGTGCAGGCATCAATTTTACTCTCAGCATTGTCTTCTCCGGAAAACTATCGTGTGGAAGAGTGGCATTTGTATATGACCTGTGCAGTCGATTCGTTTACAAATGTTTTAGAAAAAAAAAATAAAATTTGTTTAGAAATTTTGCGGTTTAAACACTATATGAATCGTTAAGTTCATAAATTCACTAACTGATACCACTAACCAAGGAAAATCCATTAAAATCTTGAATGACAAAACATTTATAAAAATAAAAAGGAAATGTGTGATTAAGTTCTTTATACAAAGAGTTAGAAAGTTCTAACTATATATATGTGCTGTTTTGATTTATTTTTATGAAAATGGGAGGAAAAGCATGTATTTAGTAGCAAATGTTTACAAATTATTTTTAATGCATTATCTGAACCAGAATTTGAGGTCTACGCCATTATAAAAACACATGAATATGTTTAAGAGATGCAGTTTTCATATGGCTAAGTTTAGAAATTTAAAATTAAAAGGGATTGCGTGGCCATTACACAAACCAAGATTTTGTCTTTATATTATTTCCTGATTATCAACAGAAGGTGCGATATAGTTTACACGACCGGGAGCAGTGCTATGGATAACTGTCTATCTTGTTTCAAAGTGTTTCCAAAGGTGTGAAACTACACATTATTTGGCACAAATAAAGCACAGACGTTGTTCAGCTTTAGTCCTTACGCATCTAAACCGTCAACATACCAACCGACTTTACTAAACTATAACTGATTTTATCTAACCAAAGCATAACCAGAATCGTCTCTCAAAATATTTTCTTTCAGGAGTTAAACTATTGTATTCAAAGGCTACACAAAGACGTTGTCTTCAATTAGTTGCTGCACGTTTGCAGTGAGTAAATACTAATTGTTTTCACCATATATCTGTATGTGTCTTTTTGCAGAGTGAAATTCATCCAATGAAATTGAACACACGAGTTTCGAAGCTCACAAATCACATCGCGAGCTTAATTTTTAAAATAGGTATGTAATTGGTTTTCTTGTAATAAATAATTAAATGTAAGTATACTTCACATACAAAAAAAATGACCTGCTTTACACAATGCATTTTTAAATTTATGAAAAAACGTTTCTTCATCGGAAGTGTATATCGATATTGAAAAGGAGCATAAGGCTACTTCTTAAATGATCTTTTTTATAATTACAGGAGTCTGGCAAAATTAATATACAATAATTTGAGGTTTTAAATTCAAGTGTAAATTTTGGAATGGAATTATTTTCCAGAGTACTTTTCTCGTAAATTCCAGTGGAACGCTGAATCAAAGTTATTTATATATTAAAATAATCTAATAACTGTACAAGAAATTATAAAAAAAAAGAAGACCACCTTAAATTCGCATATGCATACATGAACATGACTTTCACAGGAAACTTAAATATATCACAGAAAACTCTCCAACGCTCTCAAAAGTTATCTCGGAAAATCGCGCCGTAATAAAGTTACCACTTTAATCATTATCCTGAGTACTTGCTATAAATTAAATGACTGGTTAATTTTTTTTTTTAAATCCTCCTGCTGCTAAATAACTAAATAGCCAATGAAATATTCCCATAATATAACTTCAGATTACAGTAGTGTAGTCACAGAAAAGTTCTCACAGAATTTAGTTATTTAAATATTGATTCCAGATATGTATTCCTAATGAACACGAAAACGTTTTGTACCTTTTTGTGCAACATTCGCAAAGGTATGAAGAAGTCCGCTATGATTTGATTACGAATGATAGACGAAATATGGTTTTGTCTTTCGTGATTTCGTTAAAGCAATCAGCTGTTACTCAGTTGTTAGGCGCCAAATCAGTTCTCAAAAGGTTAGGTTTATAAGGTATTTGATCTCTTCTTTCCGCATCCTTTTATGGTGTAGGAGACGCACGCGTTTTTTATCGCTCCGCTTCTTGCCTGCTCATCTTGCGGAATTATTGTGCTAAAGCATACAAATTTCGCATTATCGTTAAGAGGAAGATCTAAGGATTACAAAGATACCAGATTTGTGATAGAGAGTTTGATAGAAAATGATTTATGAATTTTCAGATTGTTCAAAACTCTGAAATGGCAAAAGTATTGTAATTACGCAAGCTACAACTTTCCACCGTTCTATATGAGCCGCCGCTCATTGGATCTTCAAGTAACTTTTACCATCGGATTGTGTAAGCTTTCCAGGAGCATTTTAAGACCAAGCTCAAGTCGTTCTATTAATTAGGGAATTTAATATTATTAAATTTGCTGATTTTACACACGGTGTGGAATGCGATTGTGAACTCTGACCTTGAGCAAAAGGCCGTTGCACTCGTCTCCCCCTCCCCAACGGAATTCGCTACGGAGTGACCGCAAAGAATGCTTCAAAAATAGAGAAGTGGGCGTTTTCATACACAGTGTTTATAGTAGAACTAATTAGTGTACCAAGAGAGGGCTAGCATCTTTGATCTCTGCTCATCGAGACGGATCCAAGTTT